CTAACTAATATGCTTATCTATCTATCTATCTATCTATCTATCTATCTATCTATCTATCTATCTATCTATCTATCTATCTATCATCTGTCTGTCTGTCTGTCATCTATCTATGTCCGTGTCACTCAACCTTGGCAACTCTAAGTTGTGTGGATTTCAACTCCCAGAATTCCCCAGTCAGCATGCATTCTGGGAGTTGAAGTCACATATTTTAAGGTTACTAAGGTTGAGAAACACTGGTATAAACTCATCTTCATATTAGAAGACAGAGGCTGGTTCTAAGGACCGGTGTGTATAGCTTCTTGGCACAGCAAGCTACTTCTTGAAGCAACTGATGTGAAAATGCGTATGGCAGAGAGGCAGTTCACAGCTACTATGGTAGGAAATATTATAAAATAGCAAAGCAGGGGCTCTGGAATTCTTTCCTCCCCCTTCACCAGCAGTGACCATGGGTGGCATCTGTATTTTCCTCTGGGAAATGAAGGAATCGGTTGCATCCGTATGTATGCACGTGTGCTCAGGGGAAGCCGAGGGAGGGTTGTGTATCTACACACTCTGGGTCACGTGACCAGGAAGGAAGAGGAGGGGGGCTTAGAATGGAGCAGTTGCTCATTTGCCTTTTCCATAAGGGACATTGAGAACATTTTTTCTTGATTTTTTTTCCTCCACCGACCAGATACAGCCCATTTTCTAACTTGATTTTTCCTTTCCCAGCACTTACTGTATATCCCCCTGCACCCAATGTGGTCCAATTCTATTCTGTTTTCAGAGACTTATTCTGCTGACAGACACACACAGGCAGAATGCCTATCCCCTTTATATACATATATATTTTCCTAACATTTGGTTGTGTTGAAAGAATAAAAAAGCCCTAGTTGAAATTTCATTCCACTGAGGGTACCATTTGCTGATTAACTGATCATTAAATTAGCTTATTAAAACTGTCTTTTAATATGTTCAAAAAGAAGACTGTATTACAGTTTTGTTATTACATTCATTTAATCATCTGGATATATTCAATAAATTGATTAAATTTCAATAAATTTAAATAATCAAGTGAAACTTTCTAGGCAGTTAATAGAACAAGACACTGAACTTTCTTCATATTGAAGAAAGTTAATAGGCAATCAGAATGAAAAGTGAGAGTCCAAATGTATAAAGCAGCAATAAAAGATAATTTGGCCAACTCTTTCTTGTCAAAGCACCTAGTGGATTTCCAAGATACAGTTTTGGAACTCCCTGACATTATAATATTATTAATTAATATTAATCAATCAATATTATCCTCAGAATATGAGTTCACAACATCCCATGGAATACTGTGAACTTCAGTGAGACTGACCGAAATATTGTGAGATTTTGATATTGTACATGTGTGTGCTGGCGTGATGGGATCCAGAGCCAGAAAAGATTGCTCCTTCCTGCAGTTAAGATTAAAGCTTCAGTCCTATTAACACTTTCTAGAAGTAAGTCTCACTGCATTCAATAATCTTTGCACTTAGCTAGACATGTATAATGTTATCCTCAACATACTTAGAAGAGAGTGGGCTGTTCGTATATTTCACTAAGTCATAAAGTGGGTGAGTTGGTTTAGGCCTCGTATGTTGGGTAAACCCAGCTATTGTTGTTTCTAAACATGGCTTAAAGTTTAACACTATTTGAGCATTCACCCCTTTGTGAGTTACTGGACGAAATACAGAGAAAAGGTAGATGTATGAATCCTTCCACTATATCTCTGACAATATTGGGAGTTATTTCTGAATGAAGAGAGCTGGCTTGATGCTGCGATAAAAATCTTTTAGGATAGATGTCCTACTTTGGAGGATAGTCCTCCATATTTTGAAGACAAATACTTGTCCAGACCATGTTAGATTTTAATATAAAGAGCTATTATAAAGGGGCGTTGAAGCCTTGAAGTTGGTATATGGAGAGAAGGGTTGTAATTTAAGAGTCTTCCCCATGAAGATAATATATATTTAATTTATATAAATTATTTCTATGAGAGTATGTAGATCAGTTTGTATGCAAATATTATGCAAATCTATGTCACTTTTACCCTCTTCCCCTTTTGGCAACATGCATCTCATTTGGTGATGCATAAAAGACTTACCTTAACTTTAATCAAATGATGACTTTTTATTTAGCAAATAGTTGCCTTTGACAACTATTTATAATCCACATCAGCATCCAAATGTTTAATAATCACTTTCTGGCACAAAAAAGAGTATTTTTAACAATTACACATATCCATCTAATAATAATTCATATTCTGACCCACTCAGTAGATCTGAATCCCAAACACAGAACACTTGTCAAGTGTTCCGAAGCTTGCAATTTTCACACAATTTAAGAGCAACTTTTCAGTTGTGCCGCAGACTGAAACCCTGTAATTTGGATTCACAGCTAGAATTGCCGCTCTTCACTCACTCTCTGTTTCTGAGGCTTAAACACAGATCTTAAGCAGATGGTGAAGTTTATTTCTATTTTGAGAAAAGCTTCGTCTGACAATTCCTGCAAATCTAACTGCTAGGCACTGGGTGGTTTTCCCCTTAAGCAGTTGGCAACCCTCCGTGCAGTTGCTCTGCCATTTCAGCCTAAGATGCCCCCCTGCCTAGTTCCCAAATTACTGCCT